ACAGAAAACACTTAACGGCTCTGCACCCACCTGACCCCTGCAGATGCCATTTGCAATGAGTGTGAAAAGCAGATGGATCACCAGCAGTAAGTACTTCTTTGCATTTGGCTTCCAAATATGGGAGTGACTGGGCAACTGTGGCTTTCCAGATTAAATTCCTTCAAGGACATATTTCACTAAAGCAATGAAAGGACAGTGTGTACACCCAACAGAGCTTACACTCTAAGTTCAGAGATACAAAATGGAAGTCATAGAGTTTTGTGGAGGACCAAAATGAGGAAACGATTACAAATTAAGTCTTCTTTTCTTGATACCCACTAAGTATCAAAAGTGATGTTGAGATCTGTTGCACATTCCAGTGCAATATGCCAGCTTCATTCCTTTCAACTCCTTCTACTTGCAACCTCCAGTTCTTGAATTCACTTACCTTAAGGAGGCTCTCACTGTTTTTGTTTTAGATCAGGGGTCTAACTTTCAAATATCTTCAGGATCTGGAAACACACTGGTGCCTTGATATTAGGGGAATGAATAGCAAAAACAAAACAAACAAACAAAAAACCAAACAGGAACTTCCTGCCTTACCTAAAAAGAAAGAAAGAGAAATTACAAAGCACACACCTACTGCACTGGCTAAAAGAAAACATTCTAGGTGAGATTCCTCTGAAAAGCAACCATTTGTGACTTTGTCTTTTACTCTAATCATTGTCTCCTTTGTGGAGTCTCTCCAAATGTGGGGAAGGGAAAGGAGAGGTGGAGAGGCCACTGCTTTTCAGAATCCCTGGTGTCCTGTCTGGTCCTATGGTTGAGAACAAATTCAGCATAAAAGGCTTCTACATCAGCTGTATTGAGGCCAGAGCAAGCTCATTCCCCTTACAGACACGTAGTGCTTTCCTGTCTGTCTACTGGCTGCCTATCCTGATCGCTTTAATAGAAACCCTGAAATCCCGAGTGATCTGAAAAGAAACCAAGAACTCTGGTTTTATACTATCTGGAGAAAAAAAGCTGCCTACCTGCTGCATTCCAAGTGCCTCCAGCTTCTCTCTTCGGACTATTTTGATCACATCACCTGCCCCCGGCTTTGGGGGCGGGACAGGGGGGAGCGAAGGCGCTTTCTGTTATCCTTATTGCCAAGGCAACTCAGGCCTGCCTCTCTCATCAGCCAGCTTGTTTTTCTGGCCTTCGGAGGGGTTGGGAGGGGTTCTTGGCTCTTTAATTTGCTAATTTTGCTTAAACGCTGTCAACAGAGGCCAAGGAATAGTTGGATTCTCCGGTTTTTTTTTCTTTTATTTTTTTTTCTTTTTGGGTCACAGCCAGCAATGCACAGGGGTTATTCCTGGCTTTGCACTCAGGAATGAATCCTGGTGGTGCCGGGGGGACCATATGGGATGCTGGAAATCGAACCTGGGTCAGCCGTGTGCAAGGCAAAAGCCCTAACCGCTGTGCTATTGCTCCAGTCCCCCGGATTTTGTTTTTGATGGGCTTTTTTAAAAAATTTTTTTCTTATAGAATCATCATGATACAGTTAAAAAGCTTTCATGTTTGAGTTTCAGTCATATAATGATTGAACACCCATTCCTCCACCAGTGCACATTTTCCACCACCAATGTCCCCAGTAACCCCCCCATCTCCCACCTACTCCCTGCCTCAGGCAGACAAAATGATGGGCATTTTTTTGACAAACATTTTTAAAGCAGTCCAGGTCTGAAGCGTAGTTATGTTAGGATTAGTGACTAAAGATTCCAGTAGTTGTGGGAGGTGATTAGGATTTTTCAAACAATTCAGATACTACAGGGAGTATAAGTGCAAGTTAAACTAGGGGAAAAAATAAATTAAAGGGTCAAGGAGATGGCACAAAGAGCTGGAGTGTAGTATTTGCATGTGGGAGGCCTGGGTCTGAGGCCCAGCACCATATGGTCCCTGAAGCACCATGGGACAGCTCTCCAAGCACGGACAAGTGTGGCTTCTCCCCTCACAAAAACACAACTAAAGATACCCCACTGTTTGGAATTCAAGTGCTGATGGCTTGCCTGCCTCCCTCCCTCCCTCCCTCCCTCCCTCCCTTCCTTCCTTCTTTCTTTCTTTCTTTCTTTCTTTCTTTCTTTCTTTCTTTCCTTTCTTTTCTCCTTCCTTCCTTCCTTCCTTCCTTCCTTCCTTCCTTCTCTTTCTTTCTTTCTTTCTTTCTTTCTTTCTTTCTTTCTTTCTTTCTCTTTCCTTTCTTTTCTCCTTCCTTCCTTCCTTCCTTCCTTCCTTCCTTCCTTCCTTCCTTCCTTCCTTCCTTCCTTCCTTCCTTTCCCATTCACGTGGTGATGTTAAAAGGTAAAGCCACCACCCTGAGTCGTGAAATAATTCTGAGAATGAATGCCATGCATGACAAGGCGAGATGATAGAAAGAGACTGAGACCCAAATCATGTCTCATAAGCTAAACCAGCCCAGGCTCCCTGTCTGGACATTTATAGAAAGAAGAAAGCTGTTACCTGGTTTCTTTTACCTGGTTACCTGGTTTCTGTTAGCTGGCAGGGTAGAGATGAGGACGGTGCTTATCACTCAGCCCAACCTTTTCCGAAGGGTCACAGGAGGAAGCTGGTAGCCATGCTGAGGCAGGGCTGGAATGGTCCTCACATTCTCCTCTTGCTGTATTAAGTGGACTCAAAGATTTTACCTTTTGAGAAACTCCATCGGGAGGACTAGCTTTATTTCCTCTTCCTTCTGTCTGGGCTCTTGTCTCTTGTTTCCCACCAGTTTCCAGTAGGAGTGGATTTCACATTTTATCACGATCACTTCCCTAGTGCTAAAATATATTCTGCCACTTCCTCTTACTTGCTGCCTCTGGTAAGTCGTGAGAATGGGGGTGGGAACGGACACAGATCAAGTCACTTTTGTCACTTCCTTTCCCTGCATAACTTATCCTGCATAACAAGCATTACTTAACTATCACATACTCCATCAGTGCTGGGATTGAATTTTGATCCCCACTGTCCTATTTCCTATGTTTTTAATTTTTTCCCCACTCACATTCAGACTGTATTCTTTGGAGAAATTATCTCCATAGGATAACTAAATTGCAATATTTTCTAAACAGTGACTATTAACATGAGCGGGGAGGAGGTGGAGCTTCAGAAAGGACACCATCTGAGGAGTTTTGTAGATAGGAATATGAGCTTTTTCCTGAGGTAAGGGCCAGATATTTCATCAGAATTTACTAGATCCAAACAATCCTCCCCCAAAACATGACTCCACTTATGGTAAATTTTTAAAAAATCTTTGTTGAAATGACACCTAAAAATAACAATTTAAACATCATTGTTGAAATGTTGGATTAGGGGAAGGAATGAAGCCACTTTACAAATTCAGTTTTTATTTTTATGTAAAAATTTTGTAAATTTTTTGCTTTTTGGGTCTTACCGGCAGTGCTCAGAGCTTACTCCTGGCTCTGCATGCAGAGTTCAGTCCTAGTGGAGCTCAGGGAACTGTCTGGAATGCTAGAGATTGAACCCAGTTTGGTCATGAGCAAGACAAGCAGCTTGCCCACTTAGAATATTACTCCAGCCCCTAGACAATTCCATTTCTTTCGGTTTGTATTTGTTTTGGGACTACACCCAGTGATTCTCAGGTATTATTCCTGGCTCTGCACTCAGGAATCACTCCTGGAAGTGAAGTGGAAGTCATATGTGAAACTGGATGGATGGAACTCAGGCTGCCACATGTTAGACAAGTGACCTACCTGTTGTACTACCTCTCTGGCCCCAACATTTGTATCTCAAAGTTTTAAAATTTTATTATATCTTAGGTTGTTATAATAGTATTAAGGTTTATGGTATTGATGTACAAAGTTAATTGTGTTCCACCACCAATGTGCCCATGACCCTCCCTCTTTGTCCCTATGTCATTTCAAGTATGATTCTCCAATCTCCCTTCCCCAGTAATCGTTAACAATATTTGTCATGTAAAACAGAGGATCTGGCCTCGTTTGAGATTGTCTCTCTGTATACCACAGATGAGTGAGATCACCTGATATTTGTCATTTTCTTTGTAACTTATTTTGCTTAAAATGACACTGTATTTCCATATTTATTACTGTACACAGTTTGAATCCCTCATTTTTTATAGTTGCATAGTATTCCATTATGAATATATACACCACAATTTCTTTACCCATTTATTAGGTTATTGGATACTTGTGTTATTGGATATTTGATATCCTGGCTATTGCAAGTTGAAGGTTTGGGGCTTTCGTTTTTTGAATGGGGGTTTCCCACATAATGCTAATGGGCCTATAGACAACTCCCAGTATTCAGCTAACCCAGCTGAATTCAATGCTTGGTCCTAACAGTGCGGAGGTCATAAAGGCTACCCTAGCGATGCTCAGGGTGAAGGTGGGTGGCAGGTTATACCCAGTGGTGTCCAGAAACATCAAGGTTCCTTCCTGGGGTCTTTGTGGGACCATGTTGTGAGAGCTACCAAACTCAGTAGCAGCCAAATAGTGTGTGCACTAAAGGCATTCCAGGGGAACACAATACTGCCAACCCCTCCCCCTCCACGCTCTTTTTATTTCTCCTCCTCTCCAGCTGGTTTTTAGTCTTTTGTTTATTTTGGTCTTATTTTTAAGGGATTAACTTTCCATGATCTCAAGGAGAGATCATGATGTTTTTCTTTTGAGAATTATATGTGTCTATTTTACGGGGGTAGGGAGGATGGGGAGATGTGAAAGGAAATCCTGAGAAGAGTATGCAGTTTCTTTTGTTACTATTGTTTCCACATTTAGTTTTGAAATTTCCAAAATCAAAGGCACTGTGATTTACAATACTGTTAATAATAGGGTTTCATGCATACAACATTCCAAATGCCACACCCTCTACCTGAGGGCCTGCTTTCCTCCATCATTTATTAGGGTTTTCCCCCAACCTCTCATCACTCCTGCTGTGGTAAGGTCAGTTATTAATTCTTAATCCTAATGTTACCAAATAGCAAAAGATCAAAGCTATGCAGGGAATAAACTGAAGCAATGCTTTATTGAGACCACAAAGCACCAATTCAACAAGGCATTGAAACACATGAGGGTCAAACAAATGTCTCTTTGAACAGAGATGTAGCAAGCCCACCTTACCAAGTTCTTGAAATCAAGTACTCAAACCAAAAATCAAACAAAGCATCAGGGTAATTAAAAAAATATTACACATCATGAAGGAATATATGTATAAAAATATTCTGTACTATTAAGAAGATTTTTGATCTGTTAACTTGACAAATTTCTTCAGAATCAAATGATTATAAATACAAACCATAAGGTGAAGAAATACTTTCTTCAGAAACAAAGATCCAATTTCAAAGCAACTCTATGCAGAAAATACCATTACTCCAAGTGAAAGGTGGCTGAATATGGATGGATATCCCCAATATACAATATCTTTTTTTAGAGCTATAGTTTTGCTCATGAAGGGGTCATGATGCACACTCCTTCCAAACATTGCAGCATATCCCAGTGAAACCTTAATAAGGTCAAGTGGAGGACCCTCTATTAAAAAGGGTGTCGGCAATTCCATCCCAATAATACAAGCACCAAGGAGCAAAGACATTCCAACAACACCCTTTCTTTTTATCCTCCTCCCCACTGATTTTTTTTCAGGCTTTCTCTTTCTGTAACAGAAAGATGATCATCTCAGTGAATTCTCTTTTAAGGATCATGGGAAACAATCTACGAAGAAAGCACTGATGATTTCAAAACCTTTCTGGGGAGGGGTGGTTATGCCAAAGACAATTCTATGTGACAAACTCAAGGAAAAGCATCCTGTCCATACATGGCCCTTGCTCCTACTAGCTGAATTCAGGTCAAACGACGAATTGCCTAGTCTATCCAATAGGATAACGTTTCATTTGATTGAAATTCTTTACATATAGACATGTATGTATTCATTCTATTTACAAAGTTTCAGCACATGAAACTAAATTATATTATCATGTATATTTTGAGATCTAAGATCCCAATTTGACTGGACTATGAAGAGTTGTTCTTTAAGTGTTTTGTCTGCAGAGGTTTTACATGGTATTCATAGATTTTCAGAGCAGGCCCCAATTTTAACTGAAGTCCTGTCAACACATCATTTCTTGTCATCAGCAGCAGGGATTTTCCATCAATTTCCTGTAATGGAAGCAGAGGTTAAAGCCAACATGTGAGTCCAAAAGCTGAAGGATAATAAAGAAGAAAAAGAGTTCAAAGGAAAAGGTCATATTGACTTGTCCGTAAGCTAAAAACATTACATTTTCAGTGGTGTCAAAATGGGGGGTGGGGGGGATATGGAAGTCTTATATTTGTTATCTGTTCTCTTCTACTTTTATTTTTGGATTAAGTGCAATCCTAGGCTGATTTTAAGATCATGTCACAAATGTTACATCTTACAAAACTGATGGCACACTTGGAGCTTGAAATCTACACCCTCTTAAGTTGTTGCTTTCCCAAGAAATGACACATTCCCTTCATAAAATGTTAGTATATGCAGACATTTTGTGTACTTAATTTCTAAAACAATTCAATAAATCAGGATGGATGGGAAATGCTTTCTTAAACCCTAGGACAGGAAGTTACAAAACGATGACATAGATTTTGCTTACACGCAAAACCTGTGTCCTTTCTATAACCCTCTTCTGTTTTACTCGAAGAATTTACTTGAAGTATTTTTACTTGAAGAAAGTGACTCCATCAATGGAACAGGGGTTCTAGGCTTTCTGGATTCTATCAGAGTGGCCACATTGTGTCAGAAAATGACTTATCCTTGATGTATATGTGCTGCTGCAATGAGCACTCATCCTCTGCCCAGTGTCTTTCCTGACCTTTGAAAGGAGATCCATCCTGTCTGAAAACAAAAATTGCTATCTCAGCTGAGGACCCCACTGTTCTCCTTCTCAATTGCCACTCAAGATTCAAAATAAGATGGTGAGGTGCAGGGCTCGGTCTAGTTCAAGCCCTTATCCCCCCCACATCCTGCTCAGAGACCATTCCCCAAACCATTTGGGTGCACAATCTGGTATACTGGTTATCCTGATGACTCTATCTTGATGATATCTATTCTGATAACTACAAGCATTTTTTTTAAAGTTGAAGTAAAAATGACTTCTCAAGAAAGAGATGAGAACCCCCAAACAAATAGTAGTTTAGAACTTCCAGATGAAAGTCCTAAAAAGAATGAAACTTTCATTTTGGGGGGTCACACCCTGTGTTGCTCTGGGCTTATTCCTGACTCTGTGCTCTGGGATCACTGCTGGAGGGCTCAGGGGACCGTGTGGGGTGCTGGGGATCGAACTTGGGTCTGCAGCATGCAAGGCAAATGCCTATTTACTGTGCTATCATTCTGTATCCAAAACTTATTTTTGTTATTGTTACTTGAGAAAAAAAACACTAAGCTGATTTTTAGGAGACGTGGGTTCAAGAGATGTGCATGGTAAATATATTACCACATGATTCCACCCACGTCTGTGTCCACCTTTCTCACTGATGAACAGACAAGAGGGCAGTATCTAGATAAACTGTATAACATTTTGACTCCCTTCTATACTATCATCAAGGGGGCATGTGCTTTGACTGCCTCAGTGGAGAGGGGTGGGAAGCACTGGGAAACAGGTGACCGGCTGACCTGTGACCTTAGATAAATTTTTTCTCCTTTTTCTCCTTGATTTGTACATATAATGGATTTCTGGCAGGATTTTATAAGACAGCACTCTTGCAAATATAGAACTCAGCCCACACAATAATTTATGTTTAATTTTTGACAGGACCATAGTCCTCATTTTACTTGTAAATCACCAACCATTTATTAACCAGAAAAAGAGGAAAAATAGCTTACATACATATATGGTGGTATATGTGTTGTATATACTATGTCATGGGGCTAGGGCGATAGCACAGCGGTAGGGCGTTTGCCTTGCACGCAGCCAACATGGCCAACCCGAGTTTGATTCCTCCGCCCCTCTCGGAGAGCCCGGCAAGCTACCGAGAGTATCTCGCCTGCACGGCAGAGCCTGGCAAGCTCCCCGTGACGTATTCAATATGCCAAGCACGATAACAAGTCTCATGATGGAGATGTTACTGGGCCTGCTCGAGCAAATCGATGAACAACGGGAGCACCGTGATATTATGTCACGATAGCACAGTGGGTAGGGCGTCTGCCTTGCATGCAGCCAACATGGCCGACCCGAGTTCGATTCTTCCGCCCCTCTCGGAGAGCCCGGCAAGCTACCGAGAGTATTCGATATGCCAGACACAGTAACAACAAAGTCTCTAATGGAGACGTTACTGGGCCCACTCGAGCAAATCGATGATCAACGGGAGGGCCTTTACTTACTTTACTTTACTATAAAAGGTAAAGGTAAAGGCCCTCCCGTTGATCATCGATTTGCTCGAGCAGGCCCAGTAACGTCTCCATTGGAGACTTTGTTGTTACTGTGTTTGGCATATCGAATACTCTCGGTAGCTTGCCGGGCTCTCCGAGAGGGGCGGAGGAATCGAACTCGGGTCGGCCATGTTGGCCGCTTGTAAGGCGAATGCCCTACCCGCTGTGCTATCGCTCCACACTTTTTTTTACTTTACTATATAGTATAAATAAAGTATATACTAGTCATACACTAGGAAACAAAACATCCAATATTAGTTTGTCAGAGACAGTTATTCATAGCTATTCATATAAAAAAAAAGCTACTATAAAAGCATTGGTTCATAAGGGAAAAAAGAAAAATATTTAAGGATATAGAAATTAAATTTTCAGTACTAAAACTCTTCATTTTGTTTAGGCAGCTAGTAATCCCAAAGAGTGCTTTTAAGGAAGAGAGAATATAGGGCAGCCATTGACCCCTGAGAAGACACAGGAATGGTTCTGAAGGACTTGTGAGGTCAAAAAAACATGGCTAGTGGGTTATTTACAAACTCATGCTCCATTTCACACATGAATGTTGACTCACTGGAATGCTTTGTTATTTTTAATTTTTATTTTGAAAGTTTTATTCAGAAAGGAGAGAGGAAAAAAATTAAAGGGGCAGGAGAAAATGTGCCTGTTTCCATTTTTAAAAGTATTTTTTCCTGTTCTCCATCTTTCTGAACAAAAAACTTCCATGACTAACTGAATTTTTTTAAAAAAAGAACCTACTGGCAAAAATTCCTCCCACAATTCAGCATTTCTGTCAAGAGCCAAGTTATGTCTTGTGAAAAAAATGCTGAAATTTGGAATTTAGTTGCAACAAAAAGGGAAATCCTGTTTCAGGCTCCAGTCTGATTTTCTCTTTACTCAGTAGCCAGACTACATACAGCTCACCTCAGACAAGGGTTGATTAGACAAATCTCAATCTGGAAATCCGCATTATTTCTATCTTTTGAAATGAATATCTCATACTTGCAACGAAACTTTTCTTTTAAGCCATCATTTGAAAAGAACCATCAGCTGAGACCAGGAATAGAATTTGGCTAATGGAAACAAACGTCTAAGTCAGGCAAATCTCAATGTGAATTTGGTTTTTCCAACTGACTGTGTGTGGTATTGTGGTGATCCTGGGCAAAGAGCTTCAGTTTCCTCAACTGTAAGCTGGAAACGAACTTCTAAAGCATCTTGATATTTGAAATAATTCATGTAAGGCATCTAGCTTAGCACATTATATGAAGCTTTGAATAACTACAAGTAAACATGTATAGGTTAAAACATTTTTTCAAAAAGGCATGTATTCTGGTTCCAAATGTCTTCTGCTTCCATTCTGAAAGTATGTTACATGTCTTAAAACTACCCTTTGTCAAAAGGAGGCAAGAATATTCCGATCAGAGTTTTAAAAGTCTTACACATTTAAAAAGTGCAAAGACATAAACATTTGTCTCATAAATTTACACTGAAAAAATATACTTTATTTTCACTCATCTATAATATAGAAAACAAGAAAATAGTGTTGAGCAATGACAACCCTTGATCCAGATTACACAAAAGAAGAGGGGGTACAGCACTGGAAAAAAGAGAGGGACTAAAAGTAACATTAAAGTATAATAGTATAATGGGGAGTGAACTTGCCTCGTACATGGCTGACTGGGGTTTGACCCCCAGCATCCCAGGGTACCCCATGAACTGCAAAGAGAAACTCCTGAGTACAGAGACAAGAGTAACCCCTGAACACCACTGAGTGTGGACAAAAAAAGCAAGGAAACAAAATAACGTTAAGGACATAGGTATAATCTCTGGGACTTCAGTAGCGATGTGTCACTATAACTATTAACATCAAAACAATACTGTAAACATATCACCTAAACTATAATCATAATAAAAATCAAGCAGTCAATCATTTGTCACACAACTCTTCTATAAAAGATTTTGATGCAAAAGGAGTTTAAATTTTATCTGTTGGTGGTACTAGAGTATGGTACTCATGAGTTTGAGACTGTAAATTCCAATGGAACTGTCTTGGAATTTTGTGTACTGGAAATTCTTAGTGGAACTATCTAATAGCAGACAGAAGTTCTAATGCAGATTATTTTCAAAAGGAATAATTCCTCTGAACCCCATTTCTTTTTTTCAGTATAAATAAAGGGTGTGACTAGAGCCAGTTAAAGAAACAGAAAAAGTCTCTTGATTTTGCATGTACATCATGATTAAAATATAAACAAAAAGGTAATTCACATCTTAGAATCTTGTTTACATTTATATGCTAAGCATGTGTTAAGTTTCATTGAAACTACTTACAGTGATTCTGTCTTTACATAAAGGTAATTAAAATCCTGTTAGGCAATCATATTTAAAATGTTGGCATACTTTAAGTTTCAATAAGTACTCATGCTTTAAAGTAATGATTAGAGATGACAGATTTAAATTTTCCAATGAGGGCATGATCCTGGACCTAAGACTAAATTAGTAAAATACTTGGAAGTTACAGCTCAGTAGATAAACATGTTTCGGAACAAGGCAGTTTTTATTGCTTAGCAATAAAGGGGCCTGGGCCAAGTGATTCTTTCCTTTTCTATATGAAGGAACTATGGTAGCACTTCACAGCCCAAAGGAGTATTGAGGTAACACGTGGGAAGTAAAATTCTTGATCAACATCAGACTTACCAGTCTCAAGGGAAAATCTCCCTGTGAAAGAACAAAGTGGCAGCAACTTATTGATGATGTGGAGGAACCT